GTGTGTGAGAGTGTGAGAGTGTGTGTGTGTGAGAGTGTGATAGTGTGTGTGTGTGAGAGTGTGATAGTGTGTGTGTGTGTGTGTGTGTGTGTGTGTGTGTGTGAGTGTGTGTGAGTGTGTGTGTGTGTGTGTGTGTGTGTGAGTGAGTGTGTGTATGTATGTGTGTGTGTGTGAGAGTGTGATAGTGTGTGTGTGTGAGAGTGTGATAGTGTGTGTGTGTGAGAGTGTGATAGTGTGTGTGTGTGAGAGAGTGTGTGTGTGTGTGTGTGTGTGTGTGTGTGTGTGAGAGAGAGTGTGTGTGTGTGTCTGTGAGTGTGTGTGTGTGATGGTCTGTGTGTTTTTCACGTGTTTCTCTGGCGTGTGCAGGTCAGTAAGGTGAGTCTGGTGGATCTGGCAGGCAGTGAGCGAGCGGATTCATCCGGAGCCAAAGGCATGAGATTAAAGGTACTAAAACTGATGATCACATCTGTAATGAAGACTCAGTGTCTTCATCGCTCTCTCACACAAACCCTGTCTGTCTGTCTGTCTGTCTGTCCATCAGGAAGGTGCAAATATCAATAAATCTCTCACCACGCTGGGGAAAGTCATCTCCGCTCTGGCTGAAATGGTGAGACACTTTACTGAATGATTTAGTTCATGAAATGATCGTTCTGTCCTCATGTACGGCTCCTCGTGTCGCTCCAGACCTGTGAAATATAAGAGTGCTCCATAAATCTTTAGTAAAATGTTTCTGAATACAATAAAAGTATATGATGTGGTAAAGAGCAGCCTGGACATTCTGCTGAATGTCTCTTTTATGTTCCACAGAAGAAAGAAACTCATATGGGTTTGTAATGAGATGAACTTCCTGTCAGAGAGAAGCTAGTGGTGTATTTATGTACCATTTGAAGCCTCGGTCTGTTAAATGACTGTTGAGTGTCTGTCAGTGATCATGATCATTACTTCTGCTGTATATGAACTCTGTGTGTTTGTAACACAGCAAAACAGCAAAAGAAGGAAAAGTGAGTTCATCCCGTACAGAGACTCAGTGCTCACCTGGATACTGAAGGAGAACCTGGGTAAGACGCGCACACATACACACACACACACACACTCACACACACACACACACACACACACACTCACAAACACACACACACACACACACAGAGTTGAGGTTATGAAGCGTGTGTTTGTGTTTCAGGTGGTAATTCTCGTACGGCTATGATCGCTGCTCTCAGTCCTGCAGATATTAATTATGAGGAAACACTCAGCACTCTCAGGTACATCGATCAATTAATCAATCGATCAGTCGATGAATCGTCCATCTGTGCGAATCTTCAGAGCTTCCTGTTGTGTGTGTGTGTGTGTGTGTGTGTGCAGATATGCTGACCGTGCGAAGCAGATCCGCTGTAATGCTGTAATTAATGAGGATCCAAATGCTCGTCTGATCAGAGAACTGAAGGAGGAAGTGAACCGACTCAGAGAGCTGCTGCTGTCACAAGGACTGAGCCGGCTGATGACTGCTCCAGGTACACACTCACACACACACACACACACACACACTCTCTCTCTCTCTCTCTCTCTCTCACACACACACTCTCACACACACACACACACACACACACTCTCTCTCTCTCTCTCTCTCTCTCACACACACACTCTCACACACACACACACACACACACACTCTCTCTCTCTCTCTCTCTCTCTCACACACACACTCTCACACACACACACACACACACACACTCTCTCTCTCTCTCTCTCTCTCTCACACACACACTCTCACACACACACACACACACACACACTCTCTCTCTCTCTCTCTCTCTCTCACACACACACTCTCACACACACACACACACACACACACTCTCTCTCTCTCTCTCTCTCTCTCACACACACACTCTCACACACACACACACACACACACACTCTCTCTCTCTCTCTCTCTCTCTCACACACACACTCTCACACACACACACACACACACACACTCTCTCTCTCTCTCTCTCTCTCTCACACACACACTCTCACACACACACACACACACACACACTCTCTCTCTCTCTCTCTCTCTCTCACACACACACTCTCACACACACACACACACACACACACTCTCTCTCTCTCTCTCTCTCTCTCACACACACACTCTCACACACACACACACACACACACACTCTCTCTCTCTCTCTCTCTCTCTCACACACACACTCTCACACACACACACACACACACACACTCTCTCTCTCTCTCTCTCTCTCTCACACACACACTCTCACACACACACACACACACACACACTCTCTCTCTCTCTCTCTCTCTCTCACACACACACTCTCACACACACACACACACACACACACTCTCTCTCTCTCTCTCTCTCTCTCACACACACACTCTCACACACACACACACACACACACACTCTCTCTCTCTCTCTCTCTCTCTCACACACACACTCTCACACACACACACACACACACACACTCTCTCTCTCTCTCTCTCTCTCTCACACACACACTCTCACACACACACACACACACACACACTCTCTCTCTCTCTCTCTCTCTCTCACACACACACTCTCACACACACACACACACACACACACTCTCTCTCTCTCTCTCTCTCTCTCACACACACACTCTCACACACACACACACACACACACACTCTCTCTCTCTCTCTCTCTCTCTCACACACACACTCTCACACACACACACACACACACACACTCTCTCTCTCTCTCTCTCTCTCTCACACACACACTCTCACACACACACACACACACACACACTCTCTCTCTCTCTCTCTCTCTCTCACACACACACTCTCACACACACACACACACACACACACTCTCTCTCTCTCTCTCTCTCTCTCACACACACACTCTCACACACACACACACACACACACACTCTCTCTCTCTCTCTCTCTCTCTCACACACACACTCTCACACACACACACACACACACACACTCTCTCTCTCTCTCTCTCTCTCTCACACACACACTCTCACACACACACACACACACACACACTCTCTCTCTCTCTCTCTCTCTCTCACACACACACTCTCACACACACACACACACACACACACTCTCTCTCTCACACACACACACACACTCACACACATACACACTCACAAGTTTTAATGTTTGATGCTCACAGTCATGTTTAAAATGTCTCTCTGCTTATCTATCAGCTGCTGAAGTAAATAATAACCGTGTGGGCGTCGCTCTAATGCCTGCTGACCCTGCCTCCAATGGAGCTCCGCCCACATCTGCACCTGTCCTGGGAGAAGGCCCTGCCTCTGAGAGTGACCCCGCCTCTCTGGATGGCCACGGCCAATTAGAAGAGTTTCAGGGCGAGATGATAACCAATGAGGAAGCAGTGGAGAGACTGAAGGTACGAGGGGGCGGGGCTGTGGTGGTGGGCGGAGCCTGAGATAATCAGAATCAGTAATGTGTGTGTGTGTGTGTGTGTGTGCAGGAAACAGCGAAGATCATCGCTGAGCTGAATGAGACGTGGGAGGAGAAGCTGAGGAAGACCGAGTCGATCCGACTGGAGAGGTAAACACTGGTTTCACTGCTGCAGGTGATTGTTTGATGTCTGACACTAAAACACCAGATGACGATCAATAAGTAAATAAATGCACATAAAATATTGATTTGGTTTGAAGTATTTTATTAGCTCAATGCTTCTGCAAAGAAAAAGCACTTCTAGCAAGCAGATTTAATAAAAAATTAGCAAACAAGACAAATAAACAATTATGTGGACATGAAATATTGATATTTATTGATTTTTTTTTGTTGTTGTTTAAATTTGACCTGTTTATTATTATTATTATTCATAAAAGTGTACAAAAATTATATAGCAACAAGATAAACCTTCAAACAAAATTACAGCAATAGTAATACCGACAATACAAGATTAGTTTTTGTTTTTTAAGCAATTAATAATTCCAGCATGGAGCTGTTTTTGATTAGACATATTAAAATTACAGTTACAAGAGTTATAAAATATTGTATAATAAAACATTAATTTTGAAGATTTACTTACTTTCTTCATTTACTTATTGTCCCTGAAAATAAACAAACTGAGTTGAAATGACTTCATTCAAGTTTGTTTCAGATTGTGATGCAAACGCTCAGATGCTCGTGTGATCCGTGTGTTTCCTGTGTGCAGGGAGTCGATTCTGGCGGAGATGGGAGTGTCTATTAAAGAGGATGGAGGAACTGTCGGAGTGTTTTCACCTAAAGGGGTCTGTATACACACTCTCTCTCTCACACACACACGCTCTCTCTCTCACACTCACACACACACACACACTCACTCACACACACACACACACACACACACTCTCGCACACACACACACACACATACATAGTCATACAAACACACACACAGTCGCATACACACACACACACACATTACACACTTAAGAGTTTTAAGTATAAATGTTTGATACACAGTCATGTTTTAAATAGTGCTGTCAATCAATTAAAAAAATGAATTATAACTAATTAATCACATTTTTTCTGAAATTAATCGCGATTAATCCCACTTAGCATTTACATTTTTAAGTATACTTTTATATTGCAATAATTTCACATTCAATCTTCAAATTAAGCTAAAAACAACATAGACAGTATATTTAAAAAATGTGTTTGTCGGCATCTTTTCTTATAACTGAAGACGAGTATCAATGATACCAATACTACTGATGTCTCTATAAAATTGTTATTTTTTCCTAATGTTTAACCATTGACTATATGCCACGGAGTACTCCACAACAAGAAGACCCAAATGCAGCATTTATTAAAGAGTCCAAAAACAAACAGTGAAATCCAAATCAGGGCAAAACAGAGTAACAGAAACACATAACAGAAAACAATAAACCAGCAACCAAAGACAAAGAAAACCGGGCTTATATGTGGATGAGCTAACAAGGTCATTGAGACACAGCTGAATGTAATGAGACTTGATAGTTAAAGCAAAGGGTGATGGGAACTGAAGTCCAGAGAAACAAACAAAACTAAGAAGCGTGCCCTCTGGGGGCTATACATGGGCACACCAACTAGACACTGTGACACTATATGTAATGTTGACTATACGAACAATACAGTATAACTGAGCGCTATCAATTTTAGCATTTATTAGACTTTAAAAAATAACTTCTAAGTTAAGTGAACTTAAAACAATCTTCACATAAACCGTTTATAATAAATGTCATATTTACCCGTGCCCTTCAGAAGCAGCAGTTGTGAGTGGAGTGGCCAACCCTAACTACGCCCCTGCATTAACTGCGTTAAATATTCTTAACGCCGTTAAACTGGGAAAATTAACGCGCTAATTTTGACAGCACTAGTTTTAAAATGTCTCTATTCGTCTTTTAGCTGCTGAAGTCAATAATAACCATGTGGGCGTCACTCTAATGCCTGCTGACCCCGCCTCCAATGGAGCTCCGCCCACATCTGCACCTGTCCTGGGAGAAGGCCCTGCCTCTGAGAGTGACCCCGCCTCTCTGGATGGCCACGGCCAATTAGAAGAGTTTCAGGGCGAGATGATAACCAATGAGGAAGCAGTGGAGAGACTGAAGGTACGAGGGGGCGGGGCTGTGGTGGTGGGCGGAGCCTGAGATAATCAGAATCAGTAATGTGTGTGTGTGTGTGTGTGTGTGTGCAGGAAACAGAGAAGATCATCGCTGAGCTGAATGAGACGTGGGAGGAGAAGCTGAGGAAGACCGAGTCTATACGCCTGGAGAGGTAAAGCACACTGGTTGTACTGTCTGAGGTCTGTCACTAAACCCCAGATGACAGTCAACAAATGAATAAATGGACACAAAATATTTTATTAGCTGAAAAATTGAAGTATTTTATTAGCTCAATGCTTCTGCAAAGAAAAAGCACTTCTAGCAAGCAGATTTAATAAAAAATGAGCAAACAAGACAAATAAACAATTATGTGGACATGAAATATTGATATTTATTGATTTTTTTTGTTGTTGTTTAAATTTTACCTGTTTATTATTATTATTATTCATAAAAGTGTACAAAAATTATATAGCAACAAGATAAACCTTCAAACAAAATTACAGCAATAGTAATACCGACAATACAAGATTAGTTTTTGTTTTTTAAGCAATTAATAATTCCAGCATGGAGCTGTTTTTGATTAGACATATTAAAATTACAGTTACAAGAGTTATAAAATATTGTATAATAAAACATTAATTTTGAAGATTTACTTACTTTCTTCATTTACTTATTGTCCCTGAAAATAAACAAACTGAGTTGAAATGACTTCATTCAAGTTTGTTTCAGATTGTGATGCAAACGCTCAGATGCTCGTGTGATCCGTGTGTTTCCTGTGTGCAGGGAGTCGATTCTGGCGGAGATGGGAGTGTCTATTAAAGAGGATGGAGGAACTGTCGGAGTGTTTTCACCTAAAGGGGTCTGTATACACACTCTCTCTCTCACACACACACACACACACACACACACTCTCTCTCTCTCTCTCTCTCACACACACACTCTCACACACACACACACACACACACTCTCTCT